GGGCCTGAGCCTGGGGAGGCCTAGGAGACAGGAGGCTTTTCTCAGTCTGCACCTCCTGGCTGGAACCCATCCCTCACCCAGCAGCCTACGGTGTGGCTCCGAGACCAAGCGCCAACCGTCTGCACCTGCCTCTCATTGCAACACTGAGGCTCCGAGAAGGAAGGCTTATCTGCATTCAATGCATATTTTCTGAAAACCCACAGGATTCGCGCATTGACTACGCACTTGAGGCCCTGGGAAAGCTCGGGCTCGGCCTCCAGGCGCTCTCTCACGAGTCTGATGAAAGCTGACTCACAGTCTGGATGCCAAAGCTGTTCCACCACAGGAGTGAAGAAACCACCGACAGGCGTTCTGGAAACACCCACAGGGTCACCCTGGGGTCACGGCTGGCCCGGGGCCGCTGCCATCCACCTGGTGCTGGCTCTGCGCCACCTTCCCATTCCTCTCTGCCTGGACCGCGCTCCGGGCCTGCCCGGCTTCCCACGCGCTTCGCCTGAACTGACACCCTCGGCTCTAGACCTGCCCTTGCCCTGCTGATCCTGGGAACGTCCCCGCTCACTCGGGTCTCCTGAGGCTCTTGCTCAGGCGGGGGCAGGCCGCTGCAGCCTGGCCGCCTCCGCCCTCCTTCGCCTGCAGCCACTCCCCCGTGTCCCTGCTGCAGATTTAGAACTTCGCCTGAACTGACACCCTCGGCTCTAGACCTGCCTTTACCCTGCTGATCCTGGGAACGTCCCTGCTCGGGTCTCCTGAGGCTCTTGCTCAGGCGGGGACGGGCCGCTGCAGCCTAGCCGCCTCCGCCCTCCTTCGCCTGCAGCCACTCCCCCGTGTCCCTGCTGCAGATTTAGACCCGGATCCTCCGCTGTGAGCCCCCAGCGCTGACATCACGCTGCATGGTCTTCAGAGCTCCCCAGAATGTGCCCCTGCTCCCCATGGACCCCCCTAACCTCCCCCCGCCCCACACACACACTCCCCTGGTCCCAGATGCTCGGGGGCGCCTTGCGAGCAGTGCGTGCCTGTGCTGTGCTGGAGATAGCACGCCAGCCTCACATGATGGTACGCGGGTCCCTGTGCTTTAGACCCGGATCCTCCGCTGCGAGCCCCCAGCGCTGACATCACGCTGCATGGTCTTCGGAGCTCCCCAGAATGTGCCCCTGCTCCCCATGGGCCCCCACCCACCCACACACACACACTCCCCTGGTCCCTGATGCTCGGGGGCGCCTTGCAAGCAGTGCGTGCCTGTGCTGTGCTGGAGATGGCACGCCAGCCTCACATGATGGTACGCGGGTCCCTGTGCCCTTCCCCTCGGCTGCTCCATCTCGGCTTCCGAACATGCTCTCAGCTCGCTGCACACCTGATGGTACGGGTCCCTGTGCCCTTCCCCTCGGCTGCTCCATCTCGGCTTCCGAACAGGCTCTCAGCTCGCTGCACACCAGGCCCGTGCAACCGGCAGCGCCCTCTCAGCCCAGACTGGGCGGCCCAAGCGCCTCTGAGCTACAGGAGCACCTGGGTCAGAGCACCTCCAGGCGGAAGCCGGACATGGAACAGCTACCGACAGTGCCTTCCCTGCCGCAGCCCGCAGCAGGCTGTCGCCCTGCTCTCCCCTGGCATCTAGGGAGGTCATGAGGTCAAATGGTTAGCGTGAAGGCACCCTGGGAACCAGAGAGCCCTGACGAGTGGGAGACGCATGCTCTCAGCTCGCTGCACACCAGGCCCTCGCCTCCGCAGCGCCCTCTCAGCCCAGACTGCTCGGCCCAAGTGCCTCTGAGCTACAGGAGCACCTGGGACAGAGCACCCCCATGCAGAAGCAGCGGAGGCCGGCCACGAAACAGCTACCGACAGTGCCTCCCTGAGGCAGCCCATAGCAGGCTGTTGCCCTGCTCTCCCCTGGCATCTAGGGAGGTCATGAGCTCAATGGTTAGCGTGAAGGCGCCCTGGGAACCAGAGAGCCCTGACGAGTGGGAGACGCATCACTACCACCCATCAGACTGGGGGTCCCGCTCGCCTCGATCAGCTGAGGCTAAGCCACCGCCTCCCCAGCCAGGCCTGGGCCCTGTGCTCCTCTCTGGCCCCCCCAGGGCACTGCTTGCTTGTCACTGTGAGCAGCACCCCGTCATCAGCGGCCCCGCATCCAGACGGCACCTCATTCGTTTCCGCGCACCTACAAGACTCGACATGCGGAAGGGCCTCACCAATGATGAACGAAGGACAAAGGAGTGAACAGAACAAGGCCTGGCTTCACACACCGACCGAGACGCAGATGGGCCTCAAGGAAAAGGGGTCATCGAATGGCTTCAGGACATCAATCCTCTGGCAGAGCAACGCTACTGCGGCCTCCACCTCAGCCCCCAGCCTCACCTGTACGGCTCCATGGTCCGGATGCCGTAGAACAGCGCCTCCTCCAGCAGCCCCAGGCTGATGCAGGCATCCATGGCGCAGTCCAGCACCTTCAGCTGGTAGATGTTGATGTCGGGCAGCCGCTCCGAGTTGCTGCTGATGATGGCCTGGCACAGGGCCAGCACCTGCTCCCACTCTGTGATTAGCCTGAGTCAAGGAGGCATCGTCTTCACCAAGAAAACAAATGTCAAATGAGACTCCACAGGCTGGAGAGCTCGAGGGGGAACCCATCACTTTGCACAGAGGAGCTGGCGGAGAGCGCACTTGAGACACAAAGCAGGCAGGTGCCCCCGGAGAAGTGCATTCTGCTCCACCAACAAACCCTCTCCCAGCCGCCGGTGTCCTGGGGATTAAGATTCCCAAAGAACCGTCCTCTCTTCATGTCCCTAAATGTGTTCTCTCTACACTCCATCATGAAATGAAGGCGCTGTTTATCAAACCGAACTAAAGACTAAGTTAATTCAGTTTAAAATTATTTACTGTCGGCTTGGTGTGACCCCGCTTTCTGAGACGCTGTACCTGGCCCTCGAATAGCGATGGGCAGTGGACTGGGGACGCGGTGTGTGGAACGCGCCTCGAATCCCTTTGAGATGAATCACCCCACAAGCAGAGCAGAAGCGAGAGTGCTGGCACCGGGGACCTCACATTTTTCTTTAATCCTCACCTGGAAATATGTTGGTTTTAAAAAAATTGTTTTTAGAGAAAGAGGAAGGGAGAGAGAAACATCGATGTGGGAAACTGATTGGTTGCCTCCCGTAAGCACCCCAACCCGGAAGAGAACCTGCAAGCTTTTGGAGTGCGGGATGGCGCTCTAACCGAGCCGCCCGCCAGGCCCACATGGTTCTTTCCCACGTGTGAGGTGAGCTGGAGGCCGCGGAGGGTGCTGGGAGGGGGCAGACCCTTCTCCCCCTCCCCCACCTTCAACGTGTGCAGCTCCCAATTCACCTGCTTTCATGTTGGGATTCCTGGGGTGAAAGGTTTGCATTCCAGATGCTGCAGAAGTGGCAGAGCCTTTGACTGTGGATAAAGCTGGGTTTAGATCTAAGTTGGTGTTGCCATTGGCCTGATTTGAGGTTCAGCACATCTAATCTACGTGCGCTGAGGTAGGCCAGGAATAAAAACGCCCAATGTCACTGTGAAAAATGAAAGACTGTACGCAAACATTTAAAAAACCCTGATGTGTCCCACTGTGAACAGCAAGCTCTGGGTGCCAGCCACGCGGGGAAGTGTTCAGTGGGAGGCACCCAATACACACGGCACCCACACCACTGCTCTCCCTCCCTTTACCGGGTCACAACCTCCGAGAGACGAGGCTGAAGGAAAATGGCTCAGTGGACGGAGTCTGATCGAAT